GTACATAATAAAGAAAAGTAATTTTTTTAAACATTTTTCCTCAATTCTTCAGTCTTCAGCCATCTTGCGAGGCATCTCATCGCGTTTACGAGAACCGATTCGAATACCAACTCGAGACCTAGCCTAAGGAAATGCAAATCGATTAGCCCTAATCGGTTTCACATAAAAACGCCTTATGTCTTTGTACAAAACGATATAGGTAATCGAAACCGAATTGTTTTCTCGTAAAAACGCCTATACATATTCCGTATACCCTAAGGATGATCCCTATTGTTTTTGGTGCATGCCCACCTCCCAGGGACAGAGCCACGCCCATTTCTTGTATTTGTTTGTTTTTCGTCTACAGGCCGCATTTCTGAACATATCATCTTGAAACTTTGTATATTTATTCTTTGTACCCTAAGGAACATCCGTATCGTTTGGGGTGCATGCCTGACCCCCTGGGTCAGAGCCACGCCCAATCTTTGCGTGTCGTGTGTTTCACCTACAGTCCGCAGTTTTTAACAGATCTTTCTGAAACCTTGCATACCTATTCCTTATACCCTAAGGATGACCCCCTATTGTTTTTTGGAGATTGCCCAACCCCCAGGGGCAGAGGCATACACATTTTTTCTTTGTGTCTGTGTGTATTGGCTACAGGCCACGATTCTTAATGGATCGTCTTTGAACTTGGGGGGATATGTATTCCTTATAGCCTAAGGACGACAACTGCATGCCCCGACCCCCAGGGGCAGAGCCACGCCCAATTTTTTGTGTTTGTCCTTTACAGGCCGCAATTCTGAATGAATCAGCTTGGTAATTGGCATATGTATTACTTATAGCCTAAGGGCATCAACTATTCATTTTGGTGAATGCCCCGACCCCCAGGGCAGAGCCACGCCCACTTTTTGCCCTTAGCGCCTGAAAGTCATAATTCTGAATGGATTATCTTGGTATACTTATTCCTTATACTCTAATTGATGTTGATGCACAACCCCCAGCTCCCCCCCCCACCCCGCGCGCCTCCACCCACTGCCCTTTCGGCGGTGCCACACCCACTTTTTGTTGATATTTTGTCTATAAATGATATACAGGTTGCAATTATTAACAGATTTGGATCCAATTTGAAATTATCCAGCATATGGTTGTACCTATATAATATTGGTCCATAAACAACCCCGAGGGGCAGTGCCACGCCCAATTTTTGTGTTTTTTGTCTACAGGCTGGAATTCTAAATTGATTATCTTGGAACTTGGCATATTTATTCCTTATTCTGTAAGGATAGCAATTCTGAATGGATCATCTTGAAACTTTGCATATTTATTCCTTATACCGTAAAGACAGCAACCATTTATTTTGGTGCATGCCCCGACCCCCTGGGGCAGTGTCACACCCACTTTTTTGTTAATATTTTGTCTGACAATTTGGCAAAACAAACCCAACGCCTAGCCGTCTTTACCTCTTGTCATATTACAGCCATTTCATATTTCATTCTCTTCATTTAAAAAAGTACCATATCAATCAAAGCAGTAATATGGACAAATATTGCAGCATTAGCGATGCTCTTGTTTATTATTATTATTATTATTATTATTTTTTTTTTTTTAGAGAATTGAAATTGATTATCCAGTTTTTAGAATCTAGAATAAAATTGGAAAAGCGAAGAGCCAATAAAATGGTACAATTTTGCAATATTTGGGACCAAAGAATAAAAGATGTTCAGGGTAAAATTGTGCTCTTTGTTTTTGCGTTTTCTTTAAATTCGTTGTCGTACCCACTCTCTTTAAGACTGGTAAGACATTCTCGCCAACCTGGAGGTCACGTGTTTGATCCCAGCATTGGTCGAGAAGGTTAATAGGGATTTTCCAGTGTGGTTCCTCCTTGTCAATGGTGCAGGACAGAGGGCCTGCAAGGGACAACGTATAGTCGTTCGGATGGGACGAAAAACCGAGGTCCCGATATAAGAGTAGGCGTAATGCCGCTGTATGGGCAAAAGTTCCCTCATAGCACACTGTATATGGCGTATGTCCGTTTTCATTAGTGCAGTCGGAGCAGAACAGTAGGGTGTTAAACCCCATTTCATTTCATTTTACATTTCATCGCACTTTACGAGGGCTGGCTGAAAAGTTCTAAGCCTGAAAAGGAAAGATCAAATTGGTTGAAAGAAACTTTTACCTGCAACAAGTACAATCATTGAATGAATTATAGACATAAGAACTGCAACTGTAGTGTAATTACTACCAAACAATGTTGTGAACCTACCCATTGAAATCACCAGAAATGGACAAAACTGGCTATGGGCAGTCATCAAATACCTGCAACTGAAAGCACTCCCAACACAGATACATGTCTACATGGTCTCCACTTTAGGGGATGAAACCCCTTCCTTTTCCACGGTAAAGAAGTGGGCTGTAGAATTTAAGCGTGGCAGAGAGAGCCTTGACGATGACCCACGCCCTGAAAGACCATTAACAACAACCATGCAATAAAACATTACCCGGGGATGGTTGATCGACGATTGACCAGTCGACATATTGCCAGTGTTGTGGGCGCATCTCTCGTGAGAGGATTGGGCACATATTTTTTGGACCAGATTTGTAACCATTGATGAGACCGGCTTCCAAAAAGGAACTATGTCGGTCGTCATGTTTCGAGTAATGATGACGTCATGTCAACTGTGAACGACTATTTTAGGGTGGCTGAAGAAAATTTCTTCCTGACCGGCATCCAGGCCTTGCAACATCGTTGGCAAAAGTGTGTAGGCCTACACCTCGAAAGGGACTATGTAGAAAAATAAATAGAAACCATCAACTTTGTACAGGGGTTTCACAGATAGGTTTATAACTTTTCAGTCAGCCCTCGTATCTTAGTTAATGGACAAGAGTTTATGCAGATATTTTATAACCGCGTATTTCGGTTTTAGTTTATATTATTTCTATTATTTTTTTAAATCTTAAAATACGGGGTGGGGCTTAATCCGTATGTGTAAAAACGGAATATAATAGGCATATTTTAAAGAAAAAAAGTTTATCGGCCTTAATCACTTTTAATATCCAATTGAAATAACATTGAACAGGTTTAATAACAAGCTTGCATGGTTCTTTTTGTTTTTCTTTTTTATCTCTGAAAGTAGATCTATTCCACAATGACGTGAGTGGAATGGAAAGAACAGCACCGTTACCATTTATCCATCCAATGTCATCACGCGACAGAGTGAGACAAATTACCTTTCCATCAAAAGACAGCGCACTAGTGGAAATTTTAAAATCTATCCAGGAAGAAGCCCGGAATTCAGCATTTTATCATTACAAACAGCATCTGGCACTCTCTGAAGCATTGGTTGACTTAAAACGGTAACTGTACTTTGTTCTATTCAAATATGATATGCAATAGAAGAAAAGCAAAAGAAATATTTAACAATTTCTTAGTCTGTTGGCGGGGGGGGGGGGGCTGTTTAGTTAGGAGTTTTAATAATTTGTTATCGTCGGTTTGATTCTCGATCCGTGTTTACTCATTCAGCGGGCAATATTGTACTTGTAGCCTATTTAAAACTATTCGCCGCCTTCATGTTTTTGGTATTTATTACTTTCAGTGTCTATGATAACCCTTCAACAAAAATGGAAGTTGCTGCAGATATCATCAATAAATATACAGGACACAAACAAATTTCATCATAAAATGGACAATGTTTTTAAAAATGTGTTGAATACATGTATTTTATCATAATATGCGGATGGTTAGGCCCATCCTATTAATTAATTAAACATTCATACAATACTGAATTTGTTTTAATCATTAAGGGTCATACAAAAAGAGAAAAAAGAATTACAGAATGTGATGGGGTTTCAAAAGTTATCGTCAACACAAATCTTCGGTCATTTTGAGACAACCTGCATGGTAATTTTTATTTCTATGGTTACGTGTCGTCAGTCGTGTGCAATGCGAGAAACGAATTTTGCCAGGATTGGGGCTTTTCCGATCCACTTTTTTGCTTTACCTGCACGTCTCATCCCCATGACCCGACTTTGCAGGCGCCATCTCTAACAAGTGGGGATTTTCGTATAACAAATCTTTTTTCGTCATCAGATTTTAAAATTCAGCATTAGTGGCCTATAACTTCTGAACTGTCACAACCTTGGCTACTCTGCGTGACAACCGACAAACTCTCAGGGCGAAAATAAAAACCAATAAACCAATTTATAATTAAATAAGAGGGGATAGGGCACATCGGCCTACTAAAGTACTAAAAAATGCAAAGATCCAGAAAAGGAAGGATTTAAAAATCCTTCCTTTTCTGGATCTTTGCATTTTTTTTTTTTTTTTTAAATTATTTTAGGAGTAGGAGTGTTTAGCTAAATCAAGATCTGACTGTGCTATATTTTTATGTGTATAATACTGTATACGAGGGGTAAATCTAATCTATACCGCACCGGTCGTGTTTCTAGGTCAGGTCGCAGATGTATAAGAAGATATTAAGGTCCATGACTGGCCTAGTACCGGTAGTAGTAGGACCTACTATTCTAATAGATCTAAGTCTAAACTAATTATTCATGCAACAAATCAACCAGACTAATACCGCAGGCACCACGCTGTAATCTTGATCGTGATCAACGCTTAAAACAACGCGTTAACTCTCACTCAATGAACAGAAGCCAATTAAATACAATGTAACGGTCTCATTAATGTAGAGTAAGAAAGAATAGGCTATCTCCTCAGTAACGGGATTACGAGGAACTACCCACAACAAAACGTTGCGTGGTCACGAGTCGGAAGTTAGCTTCACCGCGCGCTTCTACTTCCTGTGTAAAATAGTGCCACGTTGCAAATTCTAAAAAACAATCTTTTAGTGATTAAATACGTTAAAATTATAAAAGAATAAAAATAAGAGCAATCACATTTGATTATAATCATACGAAGCATATAAGATAGCCATGAAATCACTTTCTTGATGAAATTCTACTTTCGATTTTTCTCTGAAAAATAGTTCGCTTAGCAACTAAGATTATAGCGCATGCCTTGACAACGCGGCTTAGACACACTACACACAACGGGATCTTCACTTGACAACTTGTTCATTGCGGTAGTAGTCATAAAAGGCGCAAGAGAAATTATTCTTCATTATTTCTCTTGGTCTGATAACAATAACATATAAAGATGTTCAAGAACACATTCCAAAGTGGATTCTTATCCATCCTCTACAGCATCGGAAGTAAACCATTACAAATATGGGACAAAAAGGTGAGTGAAATTTAGAAGACTTGTGTCGTCGAGTAAATGAGAGCTAGTTACGAATTTTATGACAAGACCTATCGACATAATGTGGCAGGAGATCGCAACTTTTGCTTGGACCTAGTGCTTTGTCAGTCTATTTTTTCTTTACTACACACTACCAAGTGTTATATTTTCATATCACATTCATCCGATTTTAAGTATCAGTAACACTAGGGAAGTCCTAGACCAGAGTATTTCGTTCGGCTTTTAATTGCAGTTTGACTCTGGCATGACAATGAAATAAAAATCAAGGTATCTCGATCGTATGCTATAAGTTGCCATTTATTAATTGGCATGTCTAAATTATTAGGATACGTTATATTTTAACATCGTTTAAATTGATTCCAAAAAGTGAACTATATTTTTGTCGAGCGGATGTTCAGGTCAGGCAGCCATTTTGGAAAGGAAATTTATAATTTATTATTAATGCGACCCTGAATGGCACCGTTTTGGTCTCTTGATATTTTAAACACTATCCTTGGCTTGTTTATTTTTCAGGTTAGAAATGGTCACATCAAACGTATAACCGACAACGATATCCAATCCTTAGTATTAGAAATAGTTGGTACAAATGTCAGGTAATTTACCTTCTTGAAGTACTAAATTGAAATGTGTTAAAGGGGGGGTAACTCTTATTTATTCTCTACACTGAACTTTCGTTCCAACTACGCTACTTTTTCCATAAACAAGGAACTGTTAAATATAAAATAAAATTATATGACATTTAGCAAGTGTTTTCTTGTTCAAGTTATGCAATAAATGATAAATTATTTCTTTTTTAGCACAACATTTATACAGTGTCCAGCGGACCCAAAGAAAACTCTTGGAATAAAACTGCCTTTCTTGGTTATGATTATTAAAAATCTGAAAAAATATTTTACTTTTGAAGTACAGGTATGTTTATTCATATTGATGATGGTATTGAGTTAATTTTAGAAGCTATAATTTTAATAAGATTGCCTAACCAAGGTATTATTAAATGCAAACAATGATACAAGTCTACTGATGATATTCATAAATAAAATAGTGTAACAGTAATGCTAATAACAGAAAGAAAGGGTTGATTCCAATTGTCTTAGTCTAATTTTATTTTATTATATTTTAAGGTACTAGATGACAAAAATGTAAGGAGGAGATTTCGTGCCAGCAATTATCAAAGCACAACTCGAGTAAAGCCTTTCATTTGTACTATGCCAATGAGATTGGATGATGGTTGGAATCAAATCCAGTTCAATTTATCAGATTTCACACGAAGAGCCTATGGAACAAATTATATTGAAACACTTAGAGTTCAGGTAAGATATTTCAGAATATATCATTATGGTCTTCTTTTTAATCCCTTAGATATTTTTATGCATACATTGCATTGGCTTGTTTTTTTATGCCATGTGTCAAATCATTATATAAATTTACAGTTCCCGTACATAATTTTTTAGCAAGTATTTTACTTTTAATAAGTGTGGTTCTTTTATTTTTTCAGATTCACGCCAATTGCCGAATTCGACGTGTCTATTTCTCGGATAGATTATACTCTGAAGATGAATTACCTGCAGAATTTAAATTATATTTACCTGTTCAAAACAAAGCAAAAGTTTAACATGTTCCAGTCAAAGTGGATAGAAAAACTCTGAAACCACTAATATAAATCAGGACTTGTAATATATTTATAAACAATGAACTTTAATGATTGAATGGAAGGTTATGTTCTGAAGTAGTACTCAAATCAAGGATTATTTTAATAATGTGCAGAAAATGCGGTTGTCCTATGGAATTGAATATCTGGTATTGACTTTAAAATGATTGTTTTTAAATGTGTCGATTCAGAGAAACATTGACAAAGTCAATAGCTGGTGCATAGTGATAAGATCTGGTTTTTATTTCTTCTCGAATATTGTAATTGGATATTATTTCCATCATCATCCACAATCTATATAGATAATCAAACATGGCTACTCAGATAAGTTGTTGGGATAAGTTATTAAGTTGCAATATTCTTGCACCTCATTCTTTTTTCTTTTTTGTAGAATTTCATATCTTCTCCCAACAATTATTCTGTTTCATGATGTACATTAACATACCACATTCAGTCTAGAAATATTGTTGTTATATTGCATTTTATCAAAATGTAAAAATTATGTAAATACCAATTCCATAGAATAAATGATGTATTATTTATACTTTTACGTGTGTATTTTTTTTTTTTTTTTTTTTTTTTAAATCTGATTTGTAAATAGTGAAAATAGGCAACAATTCAAAGTACTGTTGACAACTACATGTACCTACAAAAGAATGCAATACAAATGACAAGGATACATATTGAATTCAGGCAATATATGATTTAGCATAGTATGGTGGCAAGCAAGACATTGGGTGTAGTGTGATATCTCATGAACACTTAAGTGGGAGTGGGAGCCTCGGTTTCTCACTGACCAGGAGGTATGGTGTTCGATCCCAGTTTGTCAATCAGGTCGGGTGATATCTGTAGTTTTTTGTCACAAGGTTTTCAGTTGATTGTCTGGTTTCTGTTCTTCACAACGGATCGACTCTTTGTGAGAGTTCGAAGCTCACTCGCTTACTAACCATATGTACATATATCTCTCTTTATGGGACTTTTGGTTTTCAGCGTATTGAGACGACTCGTGTTCCCATGCTGGAGACAGGACGATTTTGTAGAATTTTCTAAACCATATCGGGAGAGAGAGAGAGAGAAATGGGGTTTAACGTCCACTCGACACAAACTAGGTCATTTCGGGACTAACATATGGTTTAATTTTATTTACATAATTCGCTTGCGCGTAGGGGTCTTTAGCAGTGGGAGGAAACCGGAGAAAACCCACGAGGTTGGACAAGCGACCCTACTCAAACCATATGGGAGCCATCTTGCTAGGAGTCTTAAGAAAGCACCTTGCAAGGACATCCTGTAAGTCTTGCTCTGCCGTTGAGTGAGAAAACGTTACTAGTCTAAAATACTCTGACCAAGTCCGACTTTAACTCACTCTCCTGTACATCTGGGTAAATGTATCAATCACTAACTGAAAGAGAGCTAAGAACCCTCTGCACACTGCCCTTAAGTGAGGGGGTTGGATGGCCGATTGGTTAGCGTGTGCACCTTGTATCATAAGGTTTGTCAATGAGTCAACTGGCATGGTTTCAATTCCACGGTTGTACGTGACAAGGAGTAGGGTCGCCTGTCCTGTCCATCCTTATGGGTTTTCTCTGGGTCCTTTTGTTTCCGCCCACTGCTAAAGGCCCCTACACGCAAGCAAATTATTGAAATACAATTGAACCATATGTTAGTCCCGAAATGACCTAGTCTGTGTCGAATGGACATTACACCCCAATTCTCTCTATCTCCCCCTTGAGTGACACTGCCAAATAATATCCCTTCTCCTGTGTAGACAGCCCATTTATTACGATGCAAGTCTCAAAGTGTACATTATAATCAATAAGAGAACTTGTTCCCTCAAAAGACATTGGCTATAATATTGGTTTCTGGAACTTACAATCTGGTATCCGATGACCACTATTTACTCCTCTTGTATCTTGCTACAATGGTCTAACAATACCCTAGGTACAGTGAAAAAAGGGGTTATTTTCTATAGGCGCGTTCTGATTCGCCGAAGTATCAGCGGGAAAAGAGACATTCAGCATCGGATGTCTCTGAATTATCCTGCTCGGCCATGACTCGTTCTGTAAGTTGTCTTGCCACAATAGGTCTCAACTTGGCCAATATTCTATTTCGTGTTTTTAATTTCGAATATTATGGAAAATACTGAGTTAGAGATTTAGCTCCTTTAATCTAGGGGTTATGGTTCAGAACTATAATACGTTGTTTGGGTATAGTACTGATGACAAAACAGGACGACCGGGGCTCCAGACTAGTCTACCCCACTTCATATAAGATCCCTCCGAACCCTCCGTCCCTAAAGAATTTAGGAAGATGAAAGCGTGTTTTAAACACAATTGCACAAAGCCAAGAATGATAACGGATGCGTGTAAGTAGGGCTTATGTCAAAATATAAACACCTTGGTCGAATAATGCCCCGTAAACCTTGAAACCCTATATAGGCTTCAGCTTGCCAAGCCTATAGACAAACCCGGCACTGCCCAGGTTCGATCCCGGTGTTCGCCTGGCACGGAACAGCCTCTAGTGATTCGGATAGTCCGACAAGGAGAATTGTCTAGTGATTCAGACAGGACGAAAGACCAAGGTCCCATAGTACACGTTGTTGCGTTTACGTTAAAGAACCTTCGGTATTACGGTATTATAGTTGGAATTTGAAGAAGTGTAACGCAGTTGTATAGGGAAACTTACTTCATACCACATTGCACGCTGGGGATCACGGTGGCTAAGTGGGTAAGACGCTGCTGACTCGCTAGACTGGAGGTCGGGTGTTTGATCCCTGCATGTATTGGCCGAAAAAGTTCATCCAGATTTTCCGGCGTGGTTCTCCCTTGTCAGTGACGCAGGACGGAGGGCCTGACAAGGACAGCTGTCTAGTCGTTCGGGTAGGACGAATAGCCGAGGTCCCGTGTACACATAGGCGTGCACGTAAAAGATCCTTCGACAGTTGGAATTGGTTATAAAAGTAGGCGGTAGTGCCGCTGTCCTGGCAAAATTTCACTCATAGCACACTGTATGGCGTATGTCCGTCTTCATGAGCCTAGTTCGGAGTAGGACGTTAAACTTCATTTCATTGCACGGTGCATGGATGGGCGTCTTTGTTAGCTCAATTAAAACCCATTTCATCCATCTCCATTGCAATTCTATAAGTTAAAATGGATGACATTCATGTTATGACAACAATCGATTTGTTATCAGAAGGATGACGATGAGCGAACAGAGACAGATTCGTGTGTATTATATTTTATAGCGCCAATGATACTTGAAATCATTTCTGCAATATCATTGATAATTAATAGAATTACTGATTAAAATGGGTGCAATTAAAAATCGGAGAGAGAGGAGGTGGGTGGGAGAGAGAGACCGAGAGATGGGGATTAACGTCCACTCAACACAAATTCGCTTGTGGAATCTTTAACAGTGGGGGAGAAACGAAGAAAACCCACGGGATTGGACAGGCGAACCTACTTCTTGCCACGTATACAAGCGGGGAATCGAAACCTCAACACTTGACTTATTGACAGACCCTATGATCAAAAGCGCACGCGTTAAACCAATCAGCCACCCTGACACCCTCAATCAAAAACTAAAATGGCACTTCCAGAAGTCTAAACAGACTAAATAAGTCATCCCCTAACCTATGGGGCGCCGTTTGTAAAATAATTATTTATTTTTTTTTATAGCAAAAAACATTAGATTTAACTCCGAATATATATATTTAGATAAATATTAGAACAAAAATGGCATATATGTAAATATCAAAAAATATTGTAGCTAAAAGTCGAGTTTTTGGTCTATGAAAAAGTTTAAATGTTATATCTTGATTTCACATCGCTTAATTAAATATATAGCTAAATGTGCTGTTTTTCGTAGGTATAAATGCTAAATACTAAATCACTGAAAAATCTAAATTTAAATATTTAGCTAAATATATAAACATTTAGCTAAATATATAAACATTTAGCTAAATATATAAACATTTAGCTAAATATATAAACATATAGCTAAATATATAAACATATAGCTAAATATATATATTTAACTAAATAAATAAACATTTAACTAAATATATAAACATTTAACTAAATATATATATTTAGTTAAATATATAAACAGTTAACTAAATATATAAATATCATGCTAAATATATATGTTTAGCTAAATATATATGTTTAGCTAAATATATATGTTTAGCTAAATATATATGTTTAGCTAAATATATATGTTTAGCTAAATGTATAAATATTTAACTAAATATATATTTGTGGTCCCGCCAATATTTCTATTATCGTAAGCGGCACAAAAAACTGCGCATAAAATGATGACGTGTTCCCGACACGTGAGCCTTGGCACAATAGGCCTACTAGGAATTAGAAATGGAAGCTGACCACGAACTTGTAACCCGAATCACGGCCGCGGTACTCCGTGCCGTTCGCGCAGATCAAGGCAATGAGGACTTAGATAGTACTGTGTTGTGCAGTCAATGGAAAGTTGTACACTACGTCATCGTTTAGTGTGAAGTCGCTTACAACAATAATTATTTTACAAACGGCGTGGTACGGTTCCGCTTTGTAAATTTAACTATATGTTTAGCTAAATATATAATTATTTAGCTAAATATATAATTATTTAGTTAAATATATAAATATTTAGCTAAATATATATTATTTAGCTAAATATATATCATTTAGCTAAATATATATCATTTAGCTAAATATATATCATTTAGCTAAATATATATTATTTAGCTAAATATATATTATTTAGCTAAATATATATTATTTAGCTAAATATATATTATTTAGCTAAATATATATTATTTAGCGAAATGTATATTATTTAGCTAAATGTATTTTATTTAGCTAAATGTATATTATTTAGCTAAATGTATATTTTTTAGCTCAATGTATATTATTTAGCTCAATGTATATTATTTAGCTAAATGTATAATAAATGTTTAAACATTTAACTAAATATTTTGCTAAATATTCATATATCATCAAATCTCTTGCTTTGGTCTTAATATTCAATGCTAAATGTTAAATATGAAAAAAGAGACAAATCAAGAAATATTTATATATATTATGTTAAATATTGAGTTTTTGTTGTATTTTTAGTTTAAATATTAAAAGTGAAAAATTTGCACAAAAGTCGAGATTTAACTATATATATAAATTTAAATTAAATCTAGTGTTTTTTGCTATATAAAAAGCTAAATAATTAATATATTATTTAGCTAAATATATAAATGTTTAACTAAATATATAAATGTTTAACTAAATATTTTAACATTTAACTAAATATATAAACATTGAACTAAACATATAAACATTAAACTAAATATATAAACATTTAACTAAATATATATATTTAGTTAAATATATAAACAGTTAACTAAATATATAAATATCATGCTAAATATATATGTTTAGCTAAATGTATAAATATTTAACTAAATATATATATGCGGTCCCGGCAATATTTCTATTATCGTAAGCGACACAAAAAAACTGCGCATAAAATGATGACGTGTACCCGACACGTGAGCCTAGGCACAAT